ATAAATAGCGATCTTCGAGTGAGTTAAGCCCCTCTCCGGACAAGGGAGCACTTATGATGAAATTTGCAAATGCAAGGTTTCAGGCATTTACTTTGGCTAATGAATGCAAACGCCATAAATGTCAATATAACTTCTTATCATAACCGATGTTAGAGTGAAGAACGAGTTGGTGATGGCAATGCGGATAGCGATTGAGCTCAAAACCTTGATTTTCACAATAAACTATTGTTTAAAACGCATAAAAAGAGTTTATCCAGTCAGTTACAGTACTAGAAATACTCAGAAAAGGGAGCACTTGCAGAGTGCTATGGTACAAATTACAGTCAGTTATAATTACTATGCTAGCATCTTTTTTAGCCTGGTTCAGCCAGAGCTCATGGAGTGGATAAAAGAGAGAGCAGTTTGGACAATCAACTAACTCGGCATTCTCCATGAGGTAATCAACTATTTTGCTTAGTGACTTTTGGAAGAGAGCGATCCGTATCCAGAGGTGCCTGGGCAGAGTCCCCGAACCCGGCGAAGCATTACGTCTAAACACAAAATAGTCTCAATGCTCAACCAGAAAAAAACTCTCATTCTAGTATAAATGTAGTCAAAAAAAAAACATTTGCTAAAGCTTGTCTAGCGCATACTGGAAGGATTTGGAACGGTGTTAAGAAACCGACTTGACTAGCTTTCTCGAGGCCTTCAAGACCTGTGCCAGTTAATGGATGAAGCATATGGTCAGTGCCGAAGCAGAAGTTCAAAAAAGCTATTTACTGCTCGCATGCGTTGCATAAATTACCTTGAATTTTTCAAGAAAAGGCATTAAGTTAGCTCAGACAGTACGACTTTATTGTAATAAGTACTATAAATGAATCGCTGCCATAACTTGCACACAGTTAACATGACTTTAGTTGGTCGGTCACAACGGCTTTAGGCTCATACTCGTCTTAATTCCAATTAAAAGTGCAAAACACGACAATTCTCCTTATCAAAAAATTGAACTGCCTCTTGTCCATACCACTCGAGGAGGGAAACAGCAAATCTCTAATTTCAGACGTAAAGGGATAAGGCAAATGCAATCAGCCAGCTAAAAAATGTAAATAAAATAGCACTGCAGACCATTAAGGAGCTTGTACCAAGATCCCAATATAAAACAGTGATTAACAAATTATGGTAAGCCGCATTGCTAGCATCTTGAGGTGGAGAAAAGTGATCAATCGCGTGTCTCACCCAACAGAGTCGACATAACTAAGCGAGGACAGACTGAAGGTATGTCCGTATCCACCATAAACGTTAGCCCTCTCCTCCAACTCCTGAACCCTCTTGACAACATCCCTTGCCTCAGGGAGGGATTTCGCCACCTCTTTCAGGAGGCTGTAGGTGGGAGGCTCGCGGTTAAATAGCACAGGCCTTTTCAGAATCAAACCAAAGCGCAGACAGTCGTCCACGGCCGCTTTATTTCAAAAACAGCACAAAAAAGGCGTCAGAAACCAATCTCTTCATGCAAGAAAAAGGAAAAATTCAACATTAGTTCAAACTCTCAACAACCCAGTTTTGGATTGACTTCAGCAGTCGCGTTGGGAGTCTATGCTAAAACGACTGAAGATGTGAGCATCAGCTACACCTATCAAAAAATGGTGATTATTTAAATACTTTATGAAATACACCACCTGCAAAACATTGACAGACAAACTCAGCTAGCCTGATGGGATTTTAAAAGAGCCTAATAAAAATGTGCAAATTGTTACTTACCACAAAAAGCGGTAATGTTGCTACTCTGTTCGTGAATGAAACTTCGTGTGACTGATTCTTCAGCCAAAATCTTCACCTAGAAAAGATTTGTTCTTGGTTTCACGAAAGAACCATCACTTTATGCCACCTAGTTCTGACGTAACAATAACATGGAATAAAAGAAGGATCCCTTATATGGTGTTGAACGAAAACAAAGTGAAAAATAACCACTTTCTAATGTTCACACATAACTCTTGAGATTTGAGATGGGGAGAGTTAACAACGGGGACGCAGATTTTAAAAAAAAGATCGAAATTTAGCGTTAATGTGCCAGATTATCTCACACGCAGTCCCATACAATATACATAGAAAAGCAATGTATTGCTCGGTCAGTGTTGAGAAATGAAGCATAATTAGATTTAATCCGGAATTTATGCACAAAATTACCGCATATTGCTCCACGCAAATTAACAAAAACATGAGCGTCACCATGAACATAAAGTGCATAAGTTTGATAAGGAACATGAAAGCGTGATATGACCTTTTGTTTGAGGTTTTCGAGAAGAATATCACGCTTCTCCTGTAGAATTTGGGAAGCAGGACCAGTCGGTTGTTCTACGAGAGAATTTGAAATTGATATAAAAGGTAATAACTAAAGTGTTGTAAAGATTGATATTTGCTTCTGACCCATCTGATCATATTTTCGGACGCACTTTCAGCGAAGTTAGGAAAGATGTACTTATACAGTTGAAGAATATGTATTTTAGCGTTCATTGTATTTGTGTTTGGAAACGCGGTGGCCAGAGAACGAGAAATATATGATATGCATAAGCATAGCATTAAATTGATTGTTAAATTATGAGTATGCGATAACTTTCCTACTAAAAGCTGACACGGAAATATTTCTTGCAATTAGCAAAGATTACCCTAGTTTAATGCTAAGACGAATTAATTCCTTCCCAGATTCAAAAGACAAAGAATAAAGCAAACACAAGATAGTGACGTTTCGGAAGCTCACCACTACTGGCGAAAAGCCGATTTGTACAATAAGTTTCATAGAGATAACGAAACCAGGCAGGCTAAAAAAACGGTCTTGGAAGAAAAGGCCTTGCATAACGTGTAGTTCATGGGTTCGAATTGCTTAAAAAATTTTTCTCAAAAAAGCTTTGCCAACCAAAGGTTTCCTGGTGTGCGTAACAGAAAAAAATCACAAAATCGAAAGAATCGCACGCACCTTGAGACCAAGATTTCCGCAAAACTGACCGGCGCCGATCCATTTTGGAAGAACCAGAAATATAGGCATTTGAACCGAAGAGATTCTTTCTTCCAAGGGTAAAAAAACCAAAACTCCGATCCTTCGATAAAGAGCCACTGTCTTCACTACCTGGTGATGTGGACATAGCCGTGAATATACGAAACTTCCTTTAAATATATTTACGCGTATTGGACAAAGAACGCAGATACACCCTATAGTAAAAAAAGAAATTTATCCACATAAGGAAAACGGTTGTGACAAAAAAGCAACTAAAAAGGCAAAAAACGTGCCCGACAAAAAAAACTCAAAAGATAAAAGAATTACGACCGGATTGCAAAACTTAAACCTGCAGCACGGAAAGTGACTAATATCTCTGAGAATTGTGAGTTCGTCACGAGATCTTAGCAAGCCACGCATGAATGGCAACAAAATTCAATAAAAGAGCTAGCAGCTGGATCTATTAATTCTCCCTTACACAAGTTAAGGGGAAAATTTCTGTTGTAAAAAGGCAGTTAGGTAATGAGGCGAGTTGAAAACCCTGCTATGAAATAAATGCCGCAAAAAAAGGTACACCAAGGCAAAACCTGTAAAATTTGGTAAAATGCATGAACTTTACGGAAACTTTACTCGTATCGAAATAGGATCCGCGAACATGCTAAAATACAAAAGATCAACACCGCTAAAATTCCCAGAATCGAAGAATTAAAACAAAAAAAGGTTATACTTAAACTAAAATAGGTTTTAAAAAATACTATTGTAATTAGCAATTTTATTGTTGTAAAGGTAAGGTTAATTAACTCATACAAGTAAGCATATTTAGTTACAAAAAACACATCAATGATTGTTAAATTCAAGTTGTTAAAGTCTTTTTAATACTAAGATTCAATGGATAACTTCGTAAATAGGTAAGAGTTGTTTGTTTGTTATAATATACACTAGTTTGCTTAAGTGTACTTCTATAGGGGAGAGGCAGGAACAAGTTGGAAACGCGAATCACATGCGTGAAGTCAACGTGGGGTCTCTCTCTCCAATTGATATCGCCTTCTCGCCTCATCTGCATCCCATTCCCTATCCTTCCTTGTAACAAATGCCTAATAAATCATCCACAACCGACTGTCTCTTGAATTCTGAGGTTCGGGCCAGGCAGTGGGCGAGCTGTTCTTGCACAGATCCTCAGTTGTTGAGAATAGTTGGTTAACCGGGGTCTGGAGTTAAGTCATACACGGAGTCTAGCAATTTCGTAGTCAATTTAGAACCTTTTGATTTAGCTTGTTGTGTGCTGCGTTTAAAAAGGGATTCAAGTGTTCCGCTAATCTGGAATAACTTTTGACTTCAATTGCGGATGTAAGTATTACTTATATTGCAAAGGAGATAGTGACACAGTAGTGTTTGTTATAGTAGACTTCGAAATATTTGTATGTTCGATCATATCTTTATAACGTAGTACAAGCACTAAAAGCGTAAATTTTTCCACTCGCAACTGTCTTTTAATTTTCTTAAATCATAGGTCCTACCATTGAATGACTAATCCAGACGAGATGGTATTGGCTGCGAAGGACTTGTCATCGCTGAAAAAGTTAGTTTGATAGTTTTCGATGCCTTTGATAACTTTGTGGGATTAGGACTATCTCGGCGCCTTTACTCTTTTTTAGTATATTGAGGTTAGCATAGTGGATGTGTCATGGGATGTTTTGAGCTTCACATTTGATCACAAATGTGCTTGACTTCTCCCTTTTGTTCCATTCCCCTTATTTATTAGTGTGGAAAGATGTGACGACTTCTGTATTACCGTCTTTGATTCATGAATACAGAAAATATCAAGGATATGCTGTTTTAATGCAGACATTTCTCTTCAACCTCAGTTCGTTTGCTTATTCGCTGTGAATTTAAGCCCATTTTATCCTCTTTACAGACTTGCATCATTATGAGACAATTGTTGCATTTTTCCCTTTCCAGCTTTCTTTTTAATGGGCAGTCTAAATTGGAAACTTTTGCGGCACTCTCCGACAATTTCCAAAAACATTTCTCTAAAGATGACTTTTTTGACATTGGAAAATGTTTTGTGAGTGCTTTTTGCGCCTAATGCTTGCATTTTCTAGGTTTCTCTACTGAATAACGACCTGTTGCCGGATTCTGTTTCCAAGACACTTGCTGTTTTTCTTCTCTGGGATATGTACAAGTTGGACCCTCTTGAGCTGAACCCATTTTTTCCCTTTATTTTGAATTTTCTTGTATGTGCTTATTTTTATCGTGTATTACACTAGAAATCTGAAAAAGCTTTAGGGGACCCCTTCCCATATCCGGTGAAGATCTTTATGCACACTCTCATGCTCCATCCCGATCGATCTAACGACGTAATTCTCCATTATCATTTTGATGTTTAACTTCAGCTCCTTAAGACTGTTCTGATACAGCTGCTAAACATGAACGCTGAGACGACCTCACCAAAAACGGTAATCTCACTATGTTAACGAAATCTTTCAGTGCGATTGGTCGGTTTTCGAAGGTTTGCTCCATAAGCGTTCGCTAAAGATGCCTAAATTTGACTCTTGTGGGATTCCATGTGTTCTTCCCGACGAAGGCAAAATTGGGTATGCAACAACCCATTCCTTACTGCCAAGGTTGACCAGCTACGACTCCAAAGTCGACGGTCCCTCTTTTTTGATGAACTTAGACTAAGAATCCTTCATTTTAATTAGTTTTGAAAAATTATTTGAGTCTACTTTACGAATTAATCCCGGAAAACACAGGATACCTGTGTTTGATTTCCATTGCGTTCTATTTCTCACGCACGACCAGTACAAGCCAGACGTGGTACCAATTCATCTTATCGTCAATTTCATTTGTAGATGCCCATTGAATCTTCAGCGAAAACGTTGTTTACAGGCTCTTCTAACAGACAACGAGCTGCTGCCTGCTCTCCTTCAACCACTTCGTCCTACTTTTCTCCGACTTGCTCCACCGCTGCTGCCCTGTCCTCAGTCCGCCGCCATCCCTTTAGATTCGCTGGATTCCTGGACCGAGGAGCTCATATGGCTCAGTCCTCCCACACTTCAACACAATTTTCACTGGGACTCATTCACCGAGCACTCTACCCTTCCTCTTGGGGTTCGTTTTCTGAAGTGGTTTACTACATTGTACTTGAAATCTGCTAGTTTATTTTCCATCGTACAGGTCCAGCAGCTTGTACAGCTCGCATTGTCATCTCCGTTATCTCCGTCGCAGAAGGAACAACTTGTTCAATCAATTAGCCAAAACCCTGGACTACTAAATGGAGTTGGTCTTCTGAGTGAAAGTGTACGCTTTCGATACCAAATACTTAATGTCATTACCGTAGCTTCCAAATTTGGTAAATCAGAATCCAATGGCTGCCTCCGAGATTCTCAAGGCATTGTCCTCCGATCCAGAACTAGAATCGTAGGTCAATGTTAGTAGTCATTTTGCTGCCTAGATTTTTGGATGTGTTATCAGAAATGGACGTTAACGTACACTCGCTGGAAGTGATAAATCAAATAGCACTGAACATGTCTTTGCCAAAAAAATTCATCCTCAAGTGCGTATCGAACTTCATAAAAAGATGCCAGAGCACTCAGGACAGAAGCTCGCAGTCGCGTCTCGCTCGCCTCGTTTGCTTGGTCATTCAAACGTGGGTGAGGAACAAGGTCCTCGACATCACTGGAGCCGTGAGTTCATTAAGGCCAATCAAACCGCCATGCCTAGTTTTGCCACGGACTTGTGCGAAATGCGAGTGTTAGACCAACAACGAAGTACTACCCAGATATCTCCATCTATAGGAATGTTAACTCGCATATAAGGGTCGATAATTTATGCTTCCTAATTCACAAGACTTGCATTTGCCCCGTCGAAATATCCGACGCAACTTATTTTTAGAACATTCTGGTCGAAATTCAGTCGTTCTGCTTGGAGTTTAACAGAGTACGTGAAGCCAACACGCTCTACAGACTGATAAAGAGCATAGAGGCTGCTGGACCACCAGAAAACTCAGGGAATCTCGGAGACGCAGTTGGTAGAAAGTAACTGGGATCACACCACAATAACATTTCTCGAGAGTGGAATCTCTTGGTTGTACATCGAATGTGTCTTGAAAGATTGATTTTGTTTTCAATAGCAATATATTTGTCAAAGTTTCAAATTCTGTACGAATTCAACTATCCGATGGGGCTCCTCCATGGCTCCTTTTCCAAAGTCGCCGCACATCAAAGTCTTCTGTATGGGTTCAATCATAGTCCAATTTAGTGTTTTGCAGAGGATGTCTACTTGGATAGAAGTCAAGGGATTCTCCCACATAAAAGTATTCATTGCGGGAGCAAAGATAGCCGGTTTCTTTGGTTTATTTGGTGTCGTCCCGGTGGAGTGCCATGCACGAGCAATGCACGTAAGAAGGTTATCACAAAGTCCACTAGCGATCTTGGCCAGCGTATTTGCGGAAAGAGGAGCGATGAGAAGAATATCAGCCCAGTCTCTTAACTAAATTTGTTTAATTGAGACACTACTCACCTGTATATGAAGCACAGGATCGCCTCGCTTCCCCCAATACGTGTATTCATCAACATCAGTGTAGACTGGGACTTCAATCAGCGATTTGTCGAGAAAATTACAAGCGTTTGTTGTGATAACAACCTGAACATCGAAGTTTGACTGCATTAGGCACGATATCAGTTCCACGCCCTTCATAGCAGCTACACTTCCAGTAATCCCAAGGAGGACATTCCTCCGACTATCCTCCATTGATCGGCACCTTACCAAGTCAGTGGGGTAACCAATTAACGAGCCGACTTTCTAAGCCAACGTTCCCGGCTAAGAACAGTTAATTTTCCACATACAGTAGCGATCGTGCAAAGAGATGCAAAATAAGGCGGCAAAGCAAAATAAGGAGTTAACAAAGCAATATTATGGCAAAAGGAAAGTTGTTGTGGATTGTTATACGAACGTTTGGAAGCACACTGAAATGCACGAAATTTCGCCCAATTTATTGGGATCGAATGTCGCTGCTTAAATAGTTGCACAATTGTGTTTCCGCTGAGCATTTTGCTTATTTTAAATTTTCAATGATGAATATAGGCACTTCAAATCCATTTTCCGGAAAATTTCGCAAATCCCCAAATGTTTTTTAGGCACATCACTGGTAAAAACATGATTGGGTGAGATTCGGAAGTGCCGTCCGTGCACCATAAGCTCTGTGTTGCGCTACTTAGGGATGTCCGTGGATCCGAAATTCGCAAATATGCCATGGATCGTAGGCGTATTTTCTTGCCTTTTAATGTTAGGCCCATGACGAACCTGATGTGTATGAAACGGATGACTTGCCAGAGGCCGATCAAAGGAAATCGGAGGTACTTTTACCTAACTCTAAGAATGAGTGTTTAGTCCAATGACGTAGAACAGGTTCTACCAAAGGAAATCGAGCGAATCTCTATATCTGCTATCAAGGCTCGCCATCGCTTCGAGCACTGCAAAGTCGATGCATCGAATGTGGGTAGGCTTTAATGTAGCTATGCGGTGCTACTATTTATCAACTCAGTGAGTAGTTTATTATGATTATATGGAATCTGTCATCTTAAATTTATTTGTTGCATTGCTGCGCACCACAGCTACTTAGCTCAAAAAAGTGCATGCTTAAAGTGTTTTTGTTTCTCAGATTTTTCTGACAAGATTTCTGGTACCGGCAAAGTTGGATATGCTGTTGAAAGTCCTGAGTATGAATCGGTATGTTTCATCCTGGAAAGTAATTGTTTACTCTCTGCAAATCTTTTCTTATGGTACCGCACACAGTGGTAAGTAGACCATTAAACTAGTAAATTTGTTTTACGTAGCGGGGAGTCTTGACTAATGCGAATACTGGTGTCTGCCGGTTCTATGTTTTCTAGAACATAAATGGCGAGAAGGAATCAACGCTTACCGCGCGCTTCCAGCGCTTGCAAGCAGAGGTACGTCAGCTCATCGACGACGCAGAGGCAGTAAAGAAAGAGGCCGGATCAGTGGCGACAGAGGGTGAACTCTCCGCTGAGCAGATCTCTACTCTCGCCACTTCATTGATTAGCCAGTTAAACGAACTTCAGTTGGAGGAAATCTTTGGTTCCGATTTGGATTTAACTGATCTTTGTGTTCACGATGTCCTTCTGCAGAAGTAAGTGCCTTTTTGAAAACAGTCCAAGCTCTTCATGCTTTTTGTTACGAATTTTAAGATAAATCTTTTAGAAGTCGACTGTTTATCTGCGTCATAGCGCACTGTCCCTTCGTTCCATCAATGTATCATAAACGTCGTCGCATATGTGCCATTTCTCGCTGATTACCCGCGCCCTACTTTATGCGCTTTCCTAAACACTGCTCCTTTTTTTCTCTTAAAGGCGCTTATATGAGCAAATAGCAAATTTCAGACCCAAGCAGTCGCTGCAGAAAGATGGGGCACCAGGCGAGCGCATAACTTTCGAGCTTTATTCCAAACCATCGGATAAAACTGACGCTGCTATTGAAAAGGTTGACTGCATTATTTATATCATGAGATTTGTCTTCCTGTTTTACCTTTTGGAATTCATTCACCAATGTCATACTGCTCTCGTTTACCATGATGCTTTGGTTTTGGGTAGCACTAAGTATTTAAACTTTTTATTGCCTGCTTTCGAGTTTGATGATTAAATGCTCGGTTAACTTACCTTTAGCATGTTCAAATTTTTATTTTACTAATTCTGCAACTTTTGTGGAAAAAGTTCCCCCAAGTTGTTTGATTTAGTAATGGCGTAACTATTTTTTTCGTTCAAATGCAATTTCACTCGTTTTTTTGCGTGCGGCTTTGCTTAAGGTCCGTTCTGTTTCAAGTGTTTGAATAAAATCGACTAATTTGTGATAAAATGGTGCAATTCACGGTCCGGGTGCCATTGCCTTATAACCGGTCGCCCCACGTTTTTGGGATATTCCCAACCTGCTAAAACGTGGTATTCTATAAGCATATAACATTGTGTCACTTCTAACTCCTGTTTGCACTTAGCCAGCTTTTATGCAAATTGGCATTTTTTTCTTGCTCTTTGAATCAGACCTCTTTATCATCGACTCATAGCTTGTGTGTTTGTGGGTGTCGGGATAGACCCTGGAACTGGATCGTCGATTGCAGCGTTTGGAGACGATTGTTGGGACTCGAGAGATAACCGCAATGGGTGCGTGTGGACTCATGGAGACTGCTGCCCGACTTTCTGAACGCGTCTTGCTATTGCAGCCCAGTTACTTGGATCAGATCGAGGCGAGGATATCCACAATGCAGGCGAAACTTGCAGACATCACAAAAAATCCCGAGAATGCTGCAATTGCTGATGCCGACACTCAGAATAAGGTGGAATACGTTATCACGACTTTATGCGTTTATGCTTACGCTTGGCTTCATTAAATCGTTTGTTTTTGGCTCGATTGGAGGGGATGCATTTGTGTACTCGGGAATGCGAAACTGAAGTCGGTAGTTTTATGGGAGAGTTTTGAATAGACTATGGAATATTGCTGGGTCATTTAAGTCATCCTTATGAACTTTCATTGTCTTCAGATTGCTGAGCTCTTTGAGATTGTGAAGAAATGGAATTCGTTTTCCGCTGATCTTCCATCAATTGTTGATCGCCTCAAGGATCTGCAAACGTTGCATGCACAGGGTGCGTATTCGGTCTTCACAACTTGTGCATTTTTATTCTAGTGTGGACATGATAACGATCAATTACATTTTAGTGAAACTACTAGTCCTCTTCCTTATTCTCATTTTTAAAGTGATCAACTCATTCCCTTTTGCAGACATTAAATATTTGTCGTACAGTGCAATATTTGGGGGTTTCGTATTGCGACATTGCTCAATAAGTGCAAAACCACAACTGTTTCGCCTTTTAGCCTCGGAGTTCAGTACTTCCCTAGTGAATATGGAAGTAGCTCAAAGGAGAATTGATGACAGTCTCGCAGCCTATGGCTCACAGCTTAGAAATGTAAGCTGACTTCCATTCCATTAGCTTTCACACGTTCTGCAGCACCTTACTTGGCTCACTTTTGTCTAGCGGTGCATTTTTGTTTAAAATCATTTTACTGCTGCAACTACTGCCCCAGTCTACAAGCGAAAATAATTGGGAAATGGAGAAAGTCATTTTCAGAAGTACGTTTCTTTGTTCGTACTTTTTCTTGTAGGTTCAAGAATCCCTTTTAAATGCCCTGTCAACCTTCAAGGAAAATACTATGGCTATTGAAAAGGCTCTGAAGTCCTTGTAGGCCTCTGAACTCACCAGCATATTTTATCATGATGATTTTATTAAACTCGTCATACTCTCATCTACACATTGTTCCAATCCTGCTTCCCTCGGCACCAAGAGGTAAACTGTTTGCAAAGCGTAATTTTGTACTGGATCAGTGTGAAGTCATGTTACGCATTAATTCCTTTTTTGATGGGAGAAGGCTGTGTTCACTAATGCGACTCAACAATTTATAAGAAATCAGTTGAGGGAATTTTGTCTATTTACTAGTCTTTGCTCTAACATCGCCGCTGTGCGTACCTTCCAGTCGCTGCCTCTCGTGGGAAATTCTGTCTTCATAGATTTTCGTCTTTACTTGAAGTTTTTGTGCTAGTTGTTTCATGTTCAAGATTTCGTGTTTCTTCATTTCTACATCATTTACTGATTGCTCATAACCTCGTAGCATTTCTGGGCGCCCCAGAAGGCCACAGGCTCGCATCAGCACCGCGTAATTGGCTTTTAAAGCATCACGACTCTGCTTCAGCTTGCTGAGGACGTCACGACCGTTGCTAGACTTCTCTGTCCATAGATTTAGTTGGTCTTTAAGTTGCGAATTTTCAGCCTGACAGAATTGCAGCTTCTCTCTTGCATGTGCGATCATCTGTACCGTATTCATAATTTTACGGCTTAATTTTCCTGTTTCTTCATTCCTTTCCTCTATTTTCTCGTTGTAGGTTTGATTTTCAATTTTCATCTGTTCAAAATCGATCAGATGAAGACTTTCGGAGAGGTCGTATGCTTTAAAAGCGGCATTTATTTTCTCGACCTGTCTTTGCAATTTCAAATTTTCCAATCTCTCAGCAGCAACATTTGCTGTTTTCCTTTGCCACATTTCAATTAAGTTTTTATAATGTTCAATGGGAAGAGGTCGACCAGTTCTTGAGCTGATGGCCCTCCTCCCCTGATCCAGTAAAAATTCAACTAACTCTGCTTGCTTATTTGCGGCTTTATTAGTTTTATAGCTGGAGAGACTCTTTAGTGAGTTTATTTCTTTTTCTAGGCGCTCTTTTTGTTCCATAAACTGGTTACGCACCTGAGCAAGAGTTTCCATGTGCTTGGCATACCGCGAAGTGTAGTCTATCCCAGTATCAATAATGCTGCTTGTCATGCTGTCAATGTTAGAATGAGCGCTGTCGCCGCCCTCTACTCGCCTTCTGCGAAAATGTTCTGATAGAGTCGTTTGAAGCTGCATATTCAAATGTCCTGCTTTGTGGCGGCGTTCTAGTAACGCTCTATGTTCTTCCAGTAGTTCTTCCCTATGGTGCTCATGCATACTATCCAAAGTAGCTGCAAGCGTGTTGGAAGAGCCAGTCGTGTCTGTGTCTTTGTCTTCGCCGCTGTCGCTTGCCAATGATTCGTGATCGGATCCCTTAATTTCCTCATCCGTATGAACTCCGCGAATCTCTGTCGATGTCAGTGGCGTAACCACTTCGTCGAATTCGGAATCGCTAGTTTTCTTTGCTTTTGGAAGTGAGTATTTTTTGTCCAGCGGTTCACTTTGCTGAATACCCTTTGTCGTTGGTGTATGCTCGTCCTCAGCCGTACGCACTACTTCCTTCACTCCTTCGCCCTCCCTGTCGACATACTCTGAACCGTTCTCTTGAAGTGTTCTGGGCTGTGCGCCTGTTAATTCGTTGTTCTCTAATTGCTTTGAGATTATGCTGTCTAGAGCAACTCCAGGTTCATCGACGTTTCCTTGTGGTGTGTCTTCGGGCTGATGATCTGAACAACCAAAGCATGTACACTGAATTTATTGACCGTTCTTAAGCAGCTCTAAGTTTATGGATTATGAGTGTGAAAGTATGTTAGATGTCAAAGAAAATGTAAAATCAATTTTGGAAGTAATCTAGACGTCCATGTTACATACAACTTGGGGAGGGCGGGGCATGTTTTCTTACCCTTGTTTGTTCCGTCGTTGGTCCTGTCATGTAAACTAAAATCGTTGGCAGCTGACCCATCAACTCTACTGTCCATCATACAAGTTAAGGAAACTATAAATGCCACAGAAGTCTAAAAAGGAGCTATTTTAACAGGTGGGCTTGGACTAGGGTTCCTGGAGGATCGCTGTTAAGTTTGATAAGTGGTTGCTACGACAACGGCGATCTGCCGCAACTTGAAGGCTGGACCGTAAATTAGGTTCATCCATCACTTGCTCTTACATGATAGATGCGTCGATTGAGACTCTAAAGTAGGGGAATCACTTTCGATAACTGACATTGAATTATATGTGACATGGAATTGGTAGAGGCAGCTATTCTCAACTCGTGTTTAACGTTAGGCTATCGATGAAAGTGGGTAAGAAATCCGATTTAATCTTAATTGTGCAACCTTAATAAAGATGGCGTAAGTGGTTGACAAAACATATTAACGATAACTTTGCCAAATTTCAGATCATTACTGCTTTTAACGTTATTTTAGTAAATCGGAGAAAATAGATCCTGACAATGACCTTGTCCATGTTGCTGTAATGCATTGCCTCCGCGGGAAGTGTGTTATTACAGGTTCGAAGCATTCTTCCTTAACATTTTAGGTCATCAAGCAGTTGGAAAAAGTGCTCTTTGTAATGCTTTAGTGGAATCTCGCAAAGAATTTTCATGTTCATATCGGATGGTATCGTGGCTTTATTGATTTATTTTTCAAGTCCGTTGTTCCCAAACTTAGCATGCGAAACATTCACCTTCAGGATGTTAATGCAGATGTGGTAAATTGCATCACTAGTGCTTATCGTTCTAAGGAATTTCTTATTTATGATTACCCCGGAAGCCCTATATACCATGACCTCTTTGACAAGTTTGTAAGTCATTGTAATGTGAGTGGAATGTAGGTCGACGCCATTGACGCATTTGTGCTAATGTTCGATGTTTCGGATCGAACGAGTTTTGAGGCGTGCCCTCTGTGGGCTCAAAAAGTAAAGGAGGTGGCTAAGGGCGTCAGCGTCCCAGGTATATCTACGACTGATATAAATATGTAGCAGGCATTCTTATTGGTAACAAAACCGATTTAATCTTCCGACGTGACATAACTGAGGCTGAAGCCAAGCGGTTTGCCGAAGAGGCTGGGATCAAGTACTACGAGTTGTCGATTGTGAGCCATGCAGCGTATTAATTCACACTTGAATAAGATATGGGATGAATGTAGCGCGAGGACCTTTTACTTGCCGGTTTATTCTTTAGAATGCATCATGCGGGAATCACGGATGAAGTGCTCAGACTGCTTTTATTTTTATAGAAAGAAAGTCGGAACGTTGTGGAACCTTTTAACACTCTAGCACGAGAATTTTACGAGCTGTACCAAACCACAGCCGACAGATTTAAGGAAATCCTGTAATTTATTACCAACGTAAAGACCTTGATTATGGAAACTATTCAGTGAGCTACTTGGGTCGGAAAATCGGTACTGGTGATTGTAGAACTCTAAGCCACTCTTGAAACAAAGTGCCAATTAGCACGTTCCAAAACTACGTAAAGCTTGGCCAGTTACTTGAAACGAGCCCATTCAAACCCTTATTCCTACCCTCGATACATAAGCTAGACCAGCTATTTAATACATTCCATCCTGCAACCTAAAGAAATAAAGAAATGTTTCTTGCAAAAAAAGTCAAGAAGATCTTCTCACATCTGTATGAGGAACATCCAGTAGGGAATGAAACGATTAAAATGGCTTAGCAGCCCGTCATTGCGTAGTAATATACAAGGGCCTTAGAAATTGGGGAAGTCATTGAAGTTGCTATGATTATATTAAGCAACAGTTTCGCCGCTTTACCGAGGCAATATCGCACACAGATGCTCAGCTAGCGACGACCGCGTTTCCTCGCCGCACAATCAATTGTGGAGTCGTCAGACTTGAAGCGAGGTCTTTTTCCTGAATGGTCTGTTCCCACGAGCACCGATCTATAAAGGAAGGGTAGGATGACTGAGCATTGTGGTAATGCTTGTTGCGATGATATAGAGGTACGTATAGTGGGGTGGCTGGTCGGTTCTTTTTGGCAGATTGTAGTTCTCACAACAATGTCCAGCTTTTATTTGTAAGTAAAATCTGGCTACTTATGAACCACAACGACTAATTATGATGATACAAGGCCAAGCCGGTGGTAAAATGGGAGGAGTATTGTGATGCACACAACTGACCTGTAAGGGCTGGTGGTGTCATTTTCACCAGCGGCGTTGGAGTTAGAATTAGAAAGGGGTGAAGGGGGCAAGGAGACTGAGGAATGAGGAGAAACAACACCGCGAATAGCTGCAGTAGTATCCGAGAGCCAGTGACGTAGCAAACCCTGAGTACCGAAGAAACGTAGGAAGGAGGCCGAAAACTCTTGGTAAAGATCCTCTAAGCCTGCCACTATTCGCCGACGCCTGGTTCCGAAATCGCCAAAGAAATGGCTACCCCTCTCCACTATTGTCTGAATGTTGTTCTCTAAGAGCAACTGCTTCTCCTAGATAAAGCATTCGGTCACTTATTTCCGACCCTCATAATTTATTAAATAAGATCGATATATAGCCATGAATGCACTAAACACCAAGGTGAAGCTAGGTGAAGGCCAAAAGTAAGGAGTTTCGAAGTATAGACATTGTGACAAAAGTCCACTGTACTTGTTAGGAAAGTACGCAACTTTAGGTTGATGCAAGGTAAAGCGTTTGTAAAAACGGTCCTTTAACGATAGAGTGGGTTTCGCACTTGAGCAATAACGCATTTTACCCAAAAACAAACCTTGACATAGCTAATATTTAATTCGTGCCGGGTTAATCCGCGACTAATGTTCCTTCTGAGGTAAACGTCATAATCCTTCAGTATCCGCGCGATTACGTCTGTTGTCGATATTCCTTCACTTCGTTGTGTTGTCAAAAACCTGATAACAAGAATATTTACAAGACAAACAAAAAAGGCGTTGATGTGCTACTTGAATAAAGAATCTAGCTACATTCCAGCATCCTTAAAAGGTTGGTAGATATCATTTGACCCATCACTTGCGTATGGAATGTCGTCGTGGGCAATGAAGTCAATCTAGGAAATAAAATATTAAAATATTTTTCAAAAAATTGGTAGTTATCGAAAAGAGTTGATTTTAATCTTTATTAAAAACCAGAAAACAAATGTTGAAAAAAGCAAAAGCCGCTTGCAAAATTCTAAAAAAGTGGAAACAAAATGTGTACTGTGTCAAGACGTTCCCCATCATGTACATTCAGGAATAAAACGTCTCTATTGGGGCTGATCTAAAATTTTAAGGGAGTGAAAAACAACGGTGGTAACTGCCATTTACATCGATCAAGGGCTAACCGACGACTATGTAATGAAATAGGATAGAAACAAGGACGCCGCACATGGGTATTTGTTGCAGCAAATAGAAACAAAAACAAATCGTGCATGGATAAAGAACAAGTTTAGGTGGGGTAAACGACAAGCGAATACCTTGTGTAACCGTAGGAATTCGATAGTACACTCCCAGGGAGCGGCTACAATGACCTCATCCACGTATCGACAGTGGCGGACAGCCTCATAGCGCTCGCGCTCACTCATCACTGTCTGCCCCTTGTGGAACAAGGTGTCCGCATCGCTAGTCACTACAGCCGGTCAACGACAGAAAACAGTTACAACCAACGAGAAAGAATCTGTAGACTAGGTCAAAAAAACTCGTGAGTTTCTTTTAACACCCGGTACTAAATGTGATGATAAGGCCGTGATGAAGCAAAAATACACAGTTTTAAAACGATAAAGCCAACGTGACCGACTGCGACCCCAGCTACTCAAATTAGCCTCCTTAAATTTCCCTAAGCGAACCACAACTTTAGGGTGGTCATTGTGCTTAAAAAATTAACCAGCAACGTGTCGCACAAATTGTTACACCGGTAAGCGTTACGTTGTGTTGACCCTTTAACCTAATCTAATAGGATTTGGTGTGCTGCTGAAGTGGTTCTCCAAAGACCAAGAGATTGATGCAACCATCCCTGAACTTGACCGACTAGCTGAAGGAAAGTAGGCGGTGGGAGAGTTAAACATCAACGAATTTACACATTTAAACGACAGCAATAACGGCAACTCAACCCCAAAATCCTCATCTCATTAACCTACTTATTTTCTATCAAAAGGGGACACACCGCTATTTACCAGCTTTCGGTTTAGCTTGTCTATTTGTTCAGCCATCAAAGCTACATGTCTGAAATAGATAACCGAGGTCATGTTCATTGGCATCACCAAAAAAACGCTTATTTAAGCCTAGAAATGTGCAAATAGAAGGGTTAAATCCATCAATAAGTCAGAAAGTTAGCAGCTAAAACTTAAAACAGAGGCTACTAAACAGCTCTCTCCAGCAAAGTAGGATTTAGAAGCTTACCGCCAACAATGAGGTAAGTGTTTGGGAAGGCGTTGGAGGCCTGCATAAGTTGGCGCGCATGACCTGAGTGGAACATGTCGTAGACGCCATCGGCATAGACACGCACACGACGCGGAGCTGGGTAAATGATTATCACGGGTAAATTTGCGCTGAGAACAGCACATGTGAGCGTAAAGCAATTCCAAGTAAGCGTGGGAAAATAATCTACGGTAGCTTATGCTTAGGGAACATCATTTAGTAAATAAAATCTGTAAATTTGAAGGCAGTTGTTGTATTGACAAGATTGTAGTGGAATAAGAACAACGTTTTAAATGAGTTCGGAAATGATGACTGTGACACATGAATGTAAAGGATATTTTACTTTTTGGTTTCACTAACGGTGAAACACGGTCGGTTGGGGTCAAGTAAGCAATGCTTATTAGCAGAACGACATCCTAGTAGCAAAAAAGTAGTTCGACTATATGCTATTAGTGAGGGGTCATAAACTGAGTTGAATTGACAGACCAATTCGAATTTCAGCAACGTTGAAATGGCAAAGTTAACTATAGCGAAGTTAACCACAAAGTTCTAAACACTTTAAATCCGACATCAATGGATCGGGGAATACAAAAAGTGGAACTCAAGTGGCAACATCAGATAGGTGGAAAAAACAACTACGTAAAACAGGCATTATTCAAAAATGCATTCGATTACAAATTAAAATCACGCAGCATTACCTCACACTAAAGGTGCACAACGAATATGACTCACTGAAACCCGAAATGCACAAGTGACAATCCATTGAGAGCGTCTTAAACTGGAAGCATTGCCAAAATATACCTTACCCCAAAGAACAATCCGATACTTAAATGATCTTTTCAGGCGTAAAAAAAACTTGAAATTCTGTGGTCCCCATGACATTTGTTTTGCAGGTCGAAGGGATCAAGAGAATGAACGGACGTGGCTCAAAAAGGGCTTCGATATATTGGTGTCTGAAGTTCGCCACAGTAATTTAGTTGTTTACCCCTAATGTTAGCAAAATTTTGAATTCGTCTTTGTGTCCTCGAAAAAGCGCTAGTGAAACAATATGGTTAAATTTGAGTACATCAGTAAACTAAATAATGCAACGAAAAAGTGAAAAACAAACTTATCCGTTAAGGAGAGCAACATGCATCCAAAGTACGTGTACGTTTCTGATCACGCAAAACAAAATGACTAAGTACAATCGGTTACAGCTGACCCGTTCCAGACTTGGCCATTTGGAGGGTAATTTTCTTGCTGTAGTCGCACTCCTCCAGAGCCCGAAGGGCAGCAGGTTCGTGGGAGAAGGGTGCCGGGTGTCGCATACCTCGCTTCTCTGCGTCCTCAGCGAGACCATTCTGCTTAAGATGTGGTGTCTCCGCTTTCTTCCCCTCTCCCTGAACATTCACATGACTTGATCGATTCTGATGAGGCATAGGTTTATGCCTTAAGAAAAAATCAAGTTTAAACCGCCTGTAACACAAAAGTGAACGGTCTGAACAAAGCACAATCAATGAGCACGGCAGCCGCATGATTTATAGCAATTTAAAATTGCACTAGATTGCGGGTCCCTTTGCTGGAATACCGAATACCAGCAAAAAATTTCATGATGGTTCAAATCCTGGAAGGCTATGCAAAGATTAAGGCCATGTCCATAATAGATGCGAGAGACAAGGTGCAAGGGGGGCCAACCAACCTCCCTCACTTACCACGGAAAAGGGCATTGAATCGGTACATCACGAGCTTTAGTAGTATAATTAGCTTCAAAAGCGCCACGTTAAGCATTAAAAAGCCAGTATTTTGCAAAGATATCGAATGAAAGTTGAGGAATCTGTTGTGCTATGCAATGCGAACTACTTGATGTTTGAAGGAGTTAACAGCGACATGAAATGGCATTCAAAGTAACCTGAAGTAGCAATACAACACACCAAAAGGTGTTTGGTCAGAGAGCCATTTACTAACACAAATAATTTTGCTTGCATAGAGAACGAATCAATCAGAAGCAGTCAGCAATGAGAGGGGATCTTGGAGATTGTCCGCCAACAAGTTCATCTTAGCGCGCATTAAAGCCAGGCTGATTTCCTTGGATCCGCATATGCATATGATGACGGAGGCGACCTTGGTGAAAACAAGCCTTTTTTGGGTCAATTCAACGATCACTTCCTGCAAAGACTCCTAGGAACAACCACAAAGTAACAAAATGGATTTCTCGCAAGAAAATACGAAAAAGTGAATTTATATTAGTGTAGTCTGATGCTTGGAGCCGAAGTTACAATCGCTTTGCAAATACGACTGTTGACTAATTCATCGGTAAAATTCATAGAGTTAACTATGTGCCTTCATATTGACGCTTTTCTGATAGCCTAAATAACTCAAGCAGAAGCTTGGAGGCTTGAGGCACATGAGGGAATCACATAAAAATCCAATAAAAGACTTAAAGTTGTGAGAAAGGCGAGGAACAAATAGTTCAAGCATCGCTCATTTGAAAATTAAGAAACCCATTAAGCAGTAACTAACAAAAATTTAAAGGAAAGATGGATTGAAAACTCCAGAGTACAAGCCAGAAGAAGGACTATGACTTCGTCAAACTACGAAGGAAGAAAATAGGACATCATAGTTTGGCTTGGTGCAGTCTTGGCAGACTTTGTTGTGCCAGCTTTATCGATTAAAAAATATTAAAACAAAGAATGACAAGTTAGCTGGTGTTTGATTAAAAATGTAGGAACAAAAAACAGTTTCTCTAGCTTATTCATAAAATGAAGTGAACCGTCTCAATAGTCACTGCAGGTTAAATAAAAAAGGCCTTCTATGAAAAAATACGTTACTCACCGACTCGTTTAACTGAAGTTGTTTTTGATACATATTCCAGACATTAGAAACAATAGCTGCCGCGGTTTTTACACTTCCAGTGTCACAACAAGATTGAGTGAGAAGGACCCCTTCAGTGCTAAAGAGCATTATAGATTCCACGCCTCCGGTCCTAACACGATCCAGATATCGTGACAATACTCGCAACTTCAACATAGTATGATCGCCTACGTCTGAAGTCGATAGAAAAATTGCGGCAAATGGTTCAAAAGCACTAGAAACTGTCTCCAAACTGTAACCGAAATTATGGGATGGCAAGCAGAGGTAAAATTCATCTAATGATTAAGTAATGATTATTCCTTAGTGAAAATTTTAAAAATATGTGGACGAAAAGTCCAGAAGCCATTACCGGAAAAGCCTATAAAAGGCAGGATTTCAACGCAGTTTTGGTGAAGGTGCAGAAAAAGCATAATAATTGCATATACGCGGCTGAACGAGCTATTTACGAAGCATGAACATAGGCAAACTGAAAGCAAAGACTTCAGCAGATTCGTTCATGAACTTAGTTCATGGCTGCATTGATAAACCTTTAAGTTACCACCCTATTTTAATTTATGCGAGTGTGGCAGTCATCGCGTGGGAAAATGTCTAAGAAGCACCCACAAATTGTAAACGCAGATCAGTGAGAAACAATACTAAATGCCGCAAAACCTTGTACAAGAACCACCTTAAAGCTGAAACCAAAATAACGACACGCAAATTTTAGATACGCGACCCAGATAAGAAGATAAGACATATTGTCTCCGATAGCATCACATTCATATGGGAGATCGATCAATCTCGAATGTGAACAAAGAAGCGTTAATGGTACAGTATCGAATAAAGGCAACAGATGTTAATAAAATGAACGAATAATGATAAGCGAATCAGGGAGAAGTTACTGTGAACAAAATCAAATCATGACAGCCCATCGAAGATCAAAAGCGACCTACAGAAATGGACGGTCAGAAAATGACATCATGATACAGTAAACCAATCATACAGGGAGATCCTGAACTAGTGCCTAGGTCAGTCGAAGATAAAAATGAACACCATATGGTAACTTTAATTATTTACGATTCCTTGTCAAACAAATTCTTGCTCAGTAAAACACTTAAATTTGACTTCGCACTCATTTAAAGACATTAACAGTTTCCATATTACTTTTGGACATAAAATAGCTCCGTAAATATATATCGGCGTGGGTAACTTTCTAACAATAAAGGTAAATTACATAAAATATGGTTGTTTTCTGTCCATATGCATTTCAAATCCATGATGGCTAGTTGTACCACTACAGATTTTGCGGAATATTCGACTTGACAATTTGATTGTACTTTTTATACAGGTGTCTCGATTATTAATTTCTGATGTTTGTTTAACTCGATCATTTTAAGAAATTTTTTAGTCTTGTGTGCAAATACTGGTAGCTTTCCACTCTATGCCGACTTGGGCTGAAAATTGATATTTGCAAATAGTAGTGGCGTTGTTAATTTCTACGCTTAGAACGCTTGCTTCTTCTGGTCATAATAGCCGTGTTTTTAGTGCTTTTTTTATTTCAGATTCGCAACATAACATTTGTTGACAGGGTGGAGCTTCCGGGAGTAACTACCACAACCTCCGCTAATTTGTGCTTGTACGATGTCGACGATGATGGGGTACGTCTCCAATAAGAGTGTGTTCACGTTTGCTTAGGATACTGAATTAGTACTTGGTCATTGGGACTTTGGCGATCTGGATCCCATTTCAGATTCTGTCTCTCCTAATGGTTCACTCCTTATACTAAAATATGGGAAAGTCTGGAAAGTTTATCGCGACCTTCACATGGTTACTTGCGTTACGGCTGGAAGGCTATGCTCTAAGGAGAAGGTATTTTCATGTTTCTTGTTTCCATGCGCTGCATTTGCTTCATGATCCTTTTATAGCTGACTTTTATCTCAATGCTGAGTTGTAAGTTATAGCGATGCATCTGTGCTTCTTTTCATCAATTCCCAAAATTACTCATCCTATATGTCAAACACTCTCGCTATTTCTTATTTAGCCATCCGTCGTTGCACTCTGTGCTGATTCGCAATGCTATATTTTTGATGCTGTGTTGAAGACCGGAAGCTCTGCTACAAGTCTCTTTCTTGTTTGTAACCAACAGTTGGCTTGTAATGCAAAAGATGCTCGCATATTAGAGGGAGGTACTTTCCTTTACTTCATTTGGGCATTTTCGAAGATGGTCCCTGTGATATGGCAGTGGCGTATTCCGATAGAATCGTGCGACTCTTTCGATGGGTACCTGGAAAAGCTTCCGAAAAAGGAAGTGGGAAGCTTCTCTTGCTGATAAAATGGGAACTAGCTGGTCAAGTATGGGCTAGATCGTTACTAATACTTTTAGATCAGTAGAATAAGTCTGCATTCGACTCCAACTACTTCAAACATGGTAGTCTTAGTACGCATCACTCCATATGTGTTGCCATTAGATACTTGCTTCACAGCCTGGTGGTGGATTCGCTTTTCTTCAAAAAAAATTTGAAAGTTATGAGGACCGAATGTGGTAAGTTCTCATCTCAAGGACCGCAAAGATAGTCCCACTCTCATCTATCATCCGGCAAAACTTACTTCCAATCAGAACTCGGAGATGCGCACATGGATTGTCGGTGGTCTGAAATCTAATTTGTCGGGGATAGCCGATTGTTTAATCGGTCTCTGCCTCGCCGATGGAACTATCAGTTTGCTTTCCGCAGATCTGCAAAAAAGTGAAGTTATCTGGTCTGTATCCCTACCAGTAAATGGTGAATTATTTGGTTTATCCAAATTTGATCTAACGGTAAATTCGTTTCACTTGGTTTGTCTAATTTTCGAAGAATGATGGGTTCGATGAACTTGCCGTTTGTTGTTGGGATGGATCGACATATGTGTTTAATCATCAAAAGGATATTCTTCATTTCCCTGTGGGGCAGGCTTGCCAGGCCTTCATGGCTGGTCGGTTGGCAATGTCGCCGGGTAGAAATGAGCCCGTTTTGATCTATGCTACCTGCGAGCAATCCATGCTCATCTACCACAATTTCGATTTGCAGTCGATTCCGTCTTTCTCTTTACTTCACGCGGTCGTCACTCAACCAGGTATGGTCGAAGGTCTGCAGCGACTTTGTGGTCATTGTAAGTCTACGTATTATTGGCCGTAAGGCATCTCATCCCTTTCATGTTATGCTCGCCTTTCGTGATTTTTGCTTTGTTCTTTCTGTTGGATACGGGTTTTTGTATTTCTCTTGTTGCATAGGTATTCTTCTGGCAGCGTCACTAAGCTGGTTAGCCAGCCTACATTACAACACGTATTTACCATGTTTTATTAAACTATCTAATGATGTAGCTTTGAATCATTATTTTGTTTGGGTTGAAAACTTCGTTCCACTGCCACATGAGCTGCAGCTCTGTCGATAGCAAGGCCTGTTTGAAAGAAAACACCTACCATTAAATTGTTGCTTTTTATTTATCATGGGAAGTGTAGCTTTACGCCTCCATTAGGATAAGATAACTTGACACTTAAGGCTTCAGATATGCAAATGATGGTTGTAAGCAGGAGTTAAGGTGAGGTGCGGAATTTGGAAGCTTGCCCTCTTTTAATTACTCGTTAACTATTTTTATATGCCGGTTTGTGGGCAATGACTTAGGCTCATCTATGTGGTTTTGTAGCTACAGAAGCAGGGACGATACGCAAATCAATTCAATACCTTCTCTACGAACTGCCCCGGCGGTCAGGCAGCCTTGATCGTTCTTGATCCGGCCCCTTAATATTTTTTGCATAAATACGAGCTGTTGCTTTGAGGAAATCTCGATTCCCCATGCTCCTATTTCTCCGATGGTTCAAGTCATGTTATACCTAGCTATTGTGTCAGCAGCGACTACGTTCCCCATTTCGCATACACCGATTTTTTCATACCAGTGGTAGCTAATATCCAGTCTAATCTGGCACGGCATCCACCACCTTAGAATAATGTGTAGATAGGAGGGGCCTGCATGTTTAAGCTCCGGGAGGCCGCAAATCCGTTTCTCACTTAATCACGTGTTGGTTGGTGCATACCCGCTTGCGTGCTCCTTTCGCAAAACTGCTGGCCTACGGTCGTGAGACCACCAGCTGTTGGGAGCAACTACTTTTCCTGACGTGCTCTGTTTGCTGAATTTTCTGAGTGTATTAAAATTGTAGATCACTTCCTCTGTATGTCACTAGGCGCTGAGTTCAGTAGCATAGGTACTGTGTAATGCTGACGCCTAGACGGAATGGTTAGGACTTGACGAGGGAATCGAATATCTCGCCTATTTTTCATAGAAGGAATTACTTTCTCAGCGTTGGAGATCAAGTACACGTGTGCACAACCTGTTTACATTGATAATTTAAGCAGCAGTTGCGAATTACAAAAGGGGAAGCAAGAGGACAATAAACTCAAGGAAGATTCTAGTTACCCGACCAAATGTGTCTTTGCACAGCTTTGATTATGTCTCCCAGCAGTAGGAGCATCTCGCCATAGTAGAGGAAGGTGAGAATGGCCCAAATTATACAGAGAATGAGGCCTATGATGCAAGCGATAATGACACAGCGTCTTGCTACGTCTGATTTACTGCGGTACGCGTGCATATCGTTCGCCCTGTAGTCTGTATACGCGCAAAGAGAGTAGGCAAGAGCGGGTAGGGAGCACCAACACGTGATAGGACAACAAAAGATTGCGAAAAGGCTGCATACGGCAGGACAATGGTCGTACGCCTGTTGGGGCTGCTGATGTTGCGTCGCGGTAGTCGTGGTGTAGATAAGAGGCTGAGCATGAGCAGCAGGTACGAGTGGCTGACTATTCACTATGTGATTGCCGACGGGACCACCGCTTGTATAGACATATTCGGCAGCGGGAATCACTTGAGGATGGTTGGATATTTGTTGATGACTGGGTAGGGTCATGTATCTGTAGTTGGCAGCTGCAGCAATTGTCTGTTGTTGCTGAACTGCGGCAGCTTGTGCAGCAGTTAGCGCAGACACTGGAACTGCTAAAATCGAAAAAAATTGGATGAGCATCGACATTATGGGGTGTGCATCGCATCGTCACATGTAGAAAAATGCTAAGGGTGGCGTTAACTCCCATTCATACGACACTTTATCAACCATATAGCGAGGACTACTACTGCCTCTTATGCAAGCAACAAACATCTGGGTTGTCCATGAATCAAAGAACTGTTTATGCCACAAAAAACTTCGTGTTGAATAAGTAAAAAGGCTAGAGGGTGGAAAAAGTAATAACAGACCAGACAGGCTGCCGTGGCCGTCGTATAGCATATCGCCAGCGGCAATGCGTGGCCCTCCAAGCGAGCCAAGAGAGCCTCGGACGCCATTATTGTTATCATTGGGGGTCACCGCTTCGACTCTGTCATCTGTAACTTCGCCTCCCTGCGGCGACACCTGTTGCTGCTGGTGCTGTTGATCCATCTCATATGATTGGTGTTCCTTCGAGGTGTACATTCTTTATTCGCTCCTATTGCTGTGTCTATTAAGAAAACAATATGTGGACGCACAATACTTTCTTTGAAGTCATCATTCCGACTACAAATTTCTAGCTTACCCCACAAACTCAGTGTTGTTTTTGGTTCGATGGATAATGTAGAGCTCTAAATGCAAGGAAATTCCTGAACTACTCACCATTTCTACAGAGTCGAGGAGGAAGACAAACAATTAAGTGTGTAGTATGTAGATCTAACGCAGGCGCCTGAATAACTATTATCTTATTTATCTCTACCCCGAGTGTAAACTTAGGATCTGCAGGATAGATATTCGTGAAGGAAAGTAGTTCCCCTCAAGCTCAGATGTAGGAACTAAGCTATTTTGGGCTTAAGTTTTATAACGCTTACTAAACTGAAGAGGTATCACAACACCAAAAACCAATCGCTCTTGAAAGTGCAACAGGTGAGCTCGATTATTGCATCTCAAAATAGAATTACATTGCATGTTGAGATATTTATTTGTGTGTGTTGCTCTTTGGTGGGGGTGGCTTGCAAGTCTTGTCGTTGATCATGGATGAAGGGGCCAGCATCTTGTTGAAGGGTACCACCTCCCACTGTGTTTGTATGCAGTGGGCTTAATGCTAGCATTGGCGAAGGGCAACCACTGGAGAATAGATAATTTGGCAATAGAATGGGTAAGAGGTAAGATTTGTACCCTTTACCATTAAAGGACTATCATTTAAACACTTAATGATCGTACAGATGCACCTTGGCAGGCCAACCAACCAACAAAGGCACCTGTTTACCAAAGCTTATTGACATGAAAACCCATTGTAATCAAATGAGTGTGTAGCAAAGAAAGTCGACGGAGGTCTGACGTGGGTAGTCCCAGCAAGGCGAAAAACGATAGCACTATATACCAAAGCGTATTTAAACTAGGCTTGTATGTAATGTGTAAGAACTGTGCATAATCAAATCGAGGGAGCAAGCGATATTCACAAGCACCAGGTTGTACACAGGATACGAGTAGTGCCCTCTGTTGTAAGTTATTTAATACATTGGAAATACGAATTTTATTTGACAAATACATGGCTATTGGCGAAATAGATGACTCATTTTACTATTTAGACGCAGATAAAAGACTATTCAATAGGCACTCACAAGGCCAAAACAATCCACGTGTATGTGAACGCTCCGGCCTCAAAATTGGAGCTTTTGAATCCGGTAAGTTAATGACTCGGCTTTTTAGCGTCCGTCCTACTTATTCTCTGTCTAGCAATTGCATAATATGGTTCACAAAAGAGCATTTTGAAGAACATTTCGCTGCAAAAATCCAGGGGCGCACAAAGGCATAGAGGTTACCGACCAACTATGTGTAAGTTAGCGGAACAAGTCAGGCGCCTGTGCCTAACGCACACAAAGAACTTTCTTTAAGTATTGCAACCCAAAACGGTAGCCTTTGGCATGAGATTTCCTTACCTTTCGCTACAAACTGATCTACTTATGTCTAGAAGGGAATTTCAGCGGTTTATTCTCAAAGATCCATATTTATCGTCTGAATTAATCAGCTTCTCTAAGACAATCACTAGGATGCGTACATATTCGCAAGAAAGGTACTTAGCTACCCCGACAGATTATAGCACTTCAAGTCAGAAATTTGACACAAGGTCATTATGTATGACACTGGGTGTCAAGTAGCTTGTCGGCAACTCTAGACTTCAACTACAACGTAACGTAATGACAGAGGAAGTTGGCAAATTACCCTTCAAGGAACATAGAGACCCAAGTAATGCACCGAATTGATCCGCTTGCTATTCTCAATGATCTGACGGGAAGTTTAGAGGACTGTTTTATTCACTACGATTTGGTTCCTCCAACACAAGTGTCATTCATAGGGTAAAGAAAGCTAAGCATTTAAGCGTAAGAATGTCCGAATAATGCCTTTAATACTGCGATCAGCAGGCTGCTCACTTTGAATAAAATTAAATCCCTATTTGAGCTAGAACAAGTGACTTGAGGTGGTAGTGAAATGCGGTAGGTATAGGGCCGCTTCACTGCGCCTTCATAGAGCAGCTTGAATACGAATGCCTTGAAACACGTTATTTTGTTCTAGGCCTGTTTCACTAGAACCACAATTCTGATAATGCATAATGAAACTGTGCTTCAACTGTGCAGTACCATCCACTTGGGCAAGGGTTGGCAAAGCTGTTAAGAAAGGTTAGCCAAACAGTTTGTGTGATTCCCATCACCTGGTTCTAACGCAAACATGAAATAGTCCCTTGCCTCCACAGAGCATACAACGCCAGGGCTAAATTCTCCATAATTTCTCAAAGCTTCATTCAATAAGTGTGTAACAATTAACCTCACATAAGGAGTAAACGGGCGCTGTACAGATGCAATCGATGCCCCGGAAAATGTTGGGTGCTTGGTGAAATACTTGTTCAGGAATTAGAGCGGTAGCCGCTTAGGCATAATATCCTCGCCTACAGATTTAGATGAAGTTAAAGTTGTGTAAACAGCTCCAAATTTTCACTCATCTTGACAATCAAGCAAATTCCGTATCTCAACAAAAAAAACGGTGGAAAACCTTGGCAAATGGCTTAGGACGACCGACCAGTTTCTCACATCGCTAATAGTGTCTAAGCTTACATCTATGACGTCATGACGCAAGTATGAAAGTAAAGAAAAAGTTGTGAACAGGATTGCCAAAAGCCAAAAGCGTACAACCTATCTTATGAAGGAACGCAGAAAGAATCTCACAAAAATAATCCGAGCATTGTGGTTCGAACAAACTAAACACATTTTGCGTGTTACCCGTTCTCCTCCATTGGTGTTTCCTCTACATAACTAATTAATTTCCATGTTATACTAGTCATTCTCATTTTATGCCCGGAGATAATTCGCGAGAGAGCACGATCTCATCTTTCTACATATATACAAGTCAAGGGGAAAGAGTTATATTGTTGGTGCTTATATCCATGGAAATGTGCTGAGAAAACACTGACACAGTTTACCCATCATACAAGTCAGATTGACACCATTGACTGCAATGAAATGTTGCAATTTGATTTCAAAAGCTCTAAAATTGTTTGCTAAAGTCTCGACTAGTTATTGAACTTTCCAATCGCGCCTCACGGAATGCACACTATGTCCATCTGATCCAACCTGCCAGAATAAGTATTTGCTGCATGCTTAACTCCCTTATAAAGACAATCCTGCGTCTGGCATTGGTTGCGTAGTTACAAGTCGGTGGAAAAGCTTCAACTTTTGGATAAAAATATTAATGGAACAACTTGACTTTGGACGCATGGATGCACACCAACGTAGCAAAAACAGGCAGCGAAACCAGCCTTTCTTCCATTCCAACACAGCGAAGCACGACACTATCCATCACCGGCAGAGGAGAGGGCGGGGAGGAATCATGGCCGAGCTGCGACGATGAGGATGAGCGGCAATGTATAGGATTAGCGCCTCTTTAGGCGATTAAGGGCGACTGCTTCCGGCCAACTTTTATAGCTTTGCGAATTCGTGTCCGTTACTGTATAGGCTCATAACGGGCATTGCGTGTTTCCCTTAATTTTAATGTGACAATATCCGGTTGTGGTGCAGAGGCATTCTCAGCCGATGAGCGCGATGCTATTGGAGCAGTCACGTTGAGTTGTTTACGGTAATGGATTAAGACAACACCCAAAACTGCTGAATTGGTAGAGAATTTGATGTAAACCTGTTTCGCAGCACGTTTACCAAACTACAGTCACCACAGTTGATTGCCTTGGATTTCTAGTGAAGAAGTTCAAGAATATTTTACTTGTGCACCCTGAATCTTAATTTGACCAGCAAATATTTTCATCCAAAATTATCCATAAGGATGACAAATTAAAGATGTTGAGAAAATAATTAATTATGTGGATCGAGAGAAAACACAAAGAAGGTGTTACAGGTACATGAGTGCATTCCTTTTCTAAACTTCAGAATGTAATACAAAGGGTAAACGGGAATCACCAGCCCAAAGTGACTCAGCAGCAGTTCAATCAGCCTATTGGCTGTGAAATCGGCTAAGGAAACTGAAACAATCCTTCGCGATGTTATACACAAATGGGACGAATTTGAGATGGTTCGCACCAGTACTCAGCTCGCAATAGTTGACTTTACCGCCTACATCTGACACATCTTGCAGACAAAGACATGTCCCAAAGACAGCAGTCAACTTTTCTACCAAAGAAAATTCAACTTTCTCCATTTGCAAGAATAGAATTCTAGTATGTTCAGGTGAAGTCTACATGGAATAAATAAACAGAAATGAGTAGTAAATTTCGTTCATCAAAGAACCGTTTCCTTTGGATGCAATGGCGCGAATACTTTTAGATGAGAACAGGAAGCCAATTGATGCCCCCAAAATGGCTACACAGTGTAGCCAGACAAAAATAAATGATAATTCCACACTACCAAAAGTTTAAATAAGAGAAGTGTGATAGACAGCGTGTTTAATCAAGCGTGGCTCGAATATAGTGGGCGTTGGATGTAGTTGAACAGACTTAAAAAAGGGAAATCAGGTAATAAAGATACAGAAAGCTTTGCATAGTAAAAGTCAAGAGTCGGTCTGATTACGACTGACACCTATTCTTCATCTTGTTTAGATGGAAACAGTAGAAACTAGCAGCCGCCGATTTCCGAGCAAAGATCCAGGAGTACAATTTATTAAATGACAATGAAAAAAGCATTGCATACTGTTTTCCACTTCAAAACGTTCGTGTATTTTCCTTCAAAATACACGATATGATTTGAATTGTTGACTTTCTTTGGCAAATTGCCCGCAAATAGCCTCAATTTCATGTGGATATGCTACTTGTAAACCGAAAAGACATCGACTCCCTTCTACGACTATAAAATGGGAACAAATTTTGAACCATCTTTCTCCACATCCAGTATCAGATACAAATTAGTTTTGTTTGAATACGCTACACACATTACCTGGGTCTTATAGTCCACTGTTCATTCGCCTCCATATCCCTTTTCTTAAAG